TGTATCGAAAATTGGTTGTGACCAATTTTACATGATTATTTAAGTGGAATTCTTAATTTGGTGAATGAGAAATTAAGCCAAATTTAAGCCACTTAATACTTGAAATTGTTGGAAAATTGTATAGAATATTGTGGAATATTCTAGAAATATATGGATGTGTCTTCTCATATGAAGGATCATGACTCTTGGTATGGGTATGATTAATTTCCAATAAGTGTCTTTTAATGTATAAAATTAAATTTCAAGAGATGTGTCTCTTGGTATGGTTGTCTTTTGGCATACCTTTCCAACTTCTATATACAGACCCCATGTGCTTGGATTTTATCAACAAAAAAAAAAAGAAACTCATTTCATAATTCCATATCATTCCGTTTCATGTTACACTTTGGCTTTGCATAAAATATTTGCATCAAAGTCATAGTTACGGTAAAGAGGGAACTCCGTTCGAGTTCATTGGTCTAACCATCTGGAGTGCTCATATGGCTCGACGTGGTCGTTGTTCCTTGGGAGATGATTATCGAAAAATCGTTAGCACCGATGCGAGACAAATTCATCTCAAGGACAAAGTGTCTAACACTTGCCTTGGCCGATCGCATCACTCCTATCTTACCTTGATTCTTTCTTCGTATTTGATTTCAGAATATTAATAACATTATTTTGATTTCATGTAGGTTTGAAATAAAGAAAGGAAATGATTGAATTTGTCGTTTCATCTTCCAAAATCAATTTCAGTAATATGAAATTGCATTTCAATTTCGTGAACATAAATGGCATGTCTTGTGAATATAATATGCACAATATCGGTGTAATTTTCCAACAATCTTAAGATGAATTTCGGTGCTTCTTGTGCATTTTATATTCTAATTAGAATATGAAATTATACTTGGGTTTTTTCTCTAAGAAGACTGGTATTCCATCATCAATTATCCTTTATATCTAGTTTTGATTAGTGAAGGATTAAGTGTCGAATATTTGCTCTCACATACTAACCATTGTGTTAAAACTACAAATATATATTTTTTGGATTAAAGAATTGCCATAATTGGTTTTTCTCTCAATTCATATGACAGTGGTTGGGTTTGTGATAAATTTATGTTATTGGAATAACTTGTAATACAAGTTGCTTATATTTTTTGAATTGAAAAACTGCACTAATTTTTTTTAAGAAAATCATAATTAGTTTCTATCGACATGAGGAAAATATGGAAGAAGTATATTGGAAAAGCATATATAAATGCTTAAAGAAATGAATAAGGCAGAATATGGATTTGCTATTACAAGTTCGATGGAATTCTGTAAACTGTTAATTACATGAAGGGTTATTTAGTAATTAATTACTTCATAATTCATAAAGTCAGGTTACAATTGTGAAATTAATCATGTAGTACATGG